AATAGACAGCAGCAGTTTATCATGAATAATGGGATGTGTGGCACAGGTGTGTGCATATAAAAGAGGCACATGGGTATGCATATGAAAGAGGTGCCAGTGATATCTAGGTGCGTTTAGTGTTCCTGAAAGATAAGGTTAAATAACGTGGGCAATATACAAGTTTCGAGAACATCTTTGCTGTTACTGCTTTTTAAACAGCGCAGAGCTCAGTGCCCGATAGAATGTTAATTGCCGTCCAGTAGGCTCCTGACTGAAGCAAAACCAGGCACCAGAGTAGAAAACATTACCTGGTTGTATGTCAGCCCCATGATGAATTTAAGCTTGAATTGTTATCCACAGGATCTGCATGGAGTGGGTTTGTTAGAGGATTATAATCTGTCTTAGTCTGAAAACGTCCCTGAAACAATTTTAGCACATCCCTTCACTAGAAGCACACGAGGGATTAATTGGCCGAGAATCAAGTCTGAGTCTCCCACATGGAAGGTGAGAGCAATGAACCGCCTGTGCCCATGCCTGATACCATAGTTGCCTTTCAGTCTGTTCTCCTATCTGCCAGAGTGGAACTCTCTTCAATGTCCTCAATGGTTTCTTTCCAACGTAGATTGCCAGGCTTTTCTTCCAAGGGATCTTAGGCCGGGATCCAACCTTCTAGTTTTTGAGTTAGCTAATCAGCATGTTCACTGTTTGCATTATGCGGGAGTTTGCCTGAAACCATCAACCTAAAAACAAACCCACGGGCATCGAGCTGATGCCTACGCATCGTGACCTGATACAGGTTTTCTGCGTATAAATCTTTATTGATGGAAGCAGACAGCCTCATTTTCCTCCTGAGGAGTGGCTGCTGGTTTTGGACCATCAACCTTGTGTAGGCAGCCCAATGCCTAGCCTTACAATGCCAATGAAACCCCTTTCCTGATACCATCCCAAACTAAACCTAACCCACTGACAAAGTGGCCTTATATTGTGTAGCTCATTACAGGAGTAGAAAGTCTCATCTTTCTCCTCCAGAGCAGCTTGTGGTTTCAAACCGCCGACGTTGTGGTGAGTATCCTAACACATGACCCGCTATGCCACCAGGGCTCCTCTCTAAAGGATAAGAGGGCACATTTAAAATGCTGATGTCTGTGGAATTCCTGAATTGAGGTTTCTTGGCCTGGGAAGACCTCTGAGAACAGGGATACAGTGAAAAGGGTCATTCTACATACGGAAGATAAAAAAAAAGTTCTAAGTCACCACTGAAAATATGTGCAAAAGGAACCGTGGTTGTTAGCGTGCCACTAGGCAGCAAGGACCTGAGTGTTCAAAGCACAGGGGCAAGAAGAGAGCCTGATTTTGTTGTGCCGTCAATGATGCTGGAATTGGCACGGCCCGTTCTGAGGGAGAAGCAGCTTGGTTACATGACTCAATAAAAGTATCTGGACACCAACAGATGGTCATGCAAACAATCAGAACAGATGATCATTTAATGGGAGAAGTATGGAGGACAGCCTCAAGGGACAGTAGAGAAAGGACATACCACACATCATAATTTAGAAGATAGAAGATTCTACAGAGTTTAATACTGAACTGGGAGAAGCTATAAGACGATATGACCCATTTACACACAATTAATGCAAACTGAATATTTTCATTTTCATTTGGTTAAGGGAGGGCTAGCATGTCATCATGAGGCTTTATGCCAGTGGAAATGAAATTGCTGCCACAGAATACAGCACCTGGAGTTTAGTCCTTTGAAAGAGAAATGGACCAAATGACATTTTAACCTTGAATTGCTATGTGCTCTTTCCCAGTGAAAGCTTTATGCATGGATATATTGTAACTTTTCAGCTTTCCCTGCTACTGAAATAATTCAAATACCAACTTCTTCTTTTAATAAAAGTATAAAAAAGCTATTGAAACCATGGTTTTCAAACTTAGTACACTACTTTGTGAAGGATACTCTGTATGCAGGAAAAATGACTTATAAATACCTAATGGCGATAAGACTTACCTGCACAGAAAGCAATTTCCTTTCAAAATTATAAGCCTACCTGGGATACTTAACTATCCCTCCTGGCCTTTATCCGGGAAATAATAGGCTTGCTGCACTCAGCTGTATTGATTCAACATGTGTGAATGGAAAAAACATTTTTTTTTCTGTGTGTAAAGGAAAGTTATTATAACCAACTGCTTCAAATTAATTGTGGATTCTTCATATGTTTGTGACATAAATTTATGCTACTGCTTCAAATTAATTGTGGATTCTTCATATGTTTGTGACATAAATTTATGCTACTGCTT